CCACCTGAAAGATCTGCTTGAGGGAGAAGAGAGCCCGTCGCAGCTCGCGGCCCTCGCTGTTCAGCAATTTTTCTGCAACAGACAAGCAACACGCAACCATTTATTATAATAATAGCGGGCGAGTCCAGGGGTCGGCGCTGCTCATTGTTAGGAGAGGCTCCGTGGTTAAGTACACCTGGGTATCGTGATCTCTGCTCCCAGAGGTTTCGCGAGTTTTCGCGCGTCCCTCGATCGACGCCCCCTTTCCACCTTTATATTTCCGCTTGTAAGTACGATTTACGCGGACTTTCGGGATATGTGACGCGAAAGGTATCGGGAGAAGAGCGGATTTTTCCGATAAACGGGGCGAGGTCCGATAATAATTTATCTATGCTCGTCCACTAGAGTGACGAACGTAGGTATATTTTCTCGGTATTTCTGATTCCAAATTTGCTTTAGAGACCAAATGATCGCCGATACCTTCCTGGCATTTCCAAGTTGCGTGACGAATTGATCTTTGCCATGGACAATATAAATTTCATTTTTACTATCTACTAGTCTTTATGGTATTTCAAACATATTTATGTCCTTATTTATGCCTATCATGATGATAAAGAAGAATTAATTTTCATTATCGCTATGATTAGAGTATCGAGGTGAATTATTCGAATAAATAGGATGAATGTGTAATCGGTAGGATGAGCCCGATTAATATAGAAGAGAAATTTATCAAAGAAGCTCATTCAAATACATTTATTAACTTATTATATCATATAATGTTTAGCTTTTAGTTACAATGCATATCTCTCTCTCTCTCTCTCTCTCTTTACAATGCATATTATATTTGCGATAAAATACATATGCTAAATAAGTATTATATGTATCAACGAGCGATGTAATGTTGTAGTTTTCCAACTCACATAAAAGCAGGACAATCACGTATAGTAATGATGATATTGGAACTAATTTCAATAAATGTTATCGTTAAATTGCCTTATGTATCAATTGAATATGAACAGTAAATTATATTGAGCAGTGCAAAAATATTTTAATTTTTTTTTTTTTTTGCAGTAGTCTGGAAGTAAATGTTACATTAAAAGATCAAATAATATATGAGCATAATTGTCTGAACAAACGTTGTACTGTAGTATTTATTATATTTGTTATAATAAAAATTCCTTTGATTTGTCAGAAATTTTCCATTTTACAATGATAGTAATAGAACATATGCACAATAAAACATGAATAATAAAAATTCTTGAAATACATAATTTCTAAAGATTACCCTTACTTTCATACAATATTTACTAATGAATTTTCACTACATCCAAATAGCTTATAGATAACAAATTTTTTTTAGTACTGCCACTAAAAAATAAAAAATAAAAAATATTAAAAAAAAAATTAAAATAAACAAAAAATAAACCGGCATTTACAACTATGAATTTTATATGCAATTAATTTCATAGTAACAACAAAATATTACTTTTTACCACTGCAATTAATACTGCTCAACTTAATGTTAATGGCAATAGTATAAGAGGGCTTACAAAATACTTTCTTATTACAATTAATTCAGTTCTTGAAGAAACGAAACAAAACAAAAAATATCAGAACAAACGAATAATGCTGATAAATTTTAATTACAATGTTAACATTAAACATATAATTTTAATATTTTAAAATTTTCTCACGATTCAACATATAATAAATTCAACATATAATAATTGAAATTTTAGTTTATTATGCGGTAAGGTGTAGGCGTTTCCGATAAATATTAATTCCTCATAGAATTGATTTTATTACTAAATGATTAAGTTTTCATAGCCGACTTTGTAACTGCAATTTTCTCATAATCGTCAGTTTATCATAGAAATTGAATTGCAAACTCGCCATAATACGACTTACTATATTGTAGGAGAAAAATTTAGGAGTCACTACACGTTAAATTCTTTATTTATCGTCTTTGAAGGTTGCCATAACTGTCAGTGCACTAGCTTCCACAAAAAAAAAGCCAGAAATAAATGCAAAATTTTATTTGCGTAAGTTACCCTTTACGACGATTCTTTCCTTCATTAGCAGCGCTAACCAATAAGTGCTTGTTTGATCAATGACGCGAATATTATCGCTGCGTAATGGACAAAAGTCGAAGGTTATATAAAAAAAAGTCGCTAATTACGAAAAAGTGAGCAAATGGAGAAAACGATATATTCTAGGATCCAGTCTTGGAAATTTATATGAATGTCCCACTCCTTTTAAATGCTAATCCAGCAAATGAGGTTCGATACTGCGGAAGAGCAATTAACAAAAATCACCCAAGTAAGCAAAAAAGGGTCACTTTGACTCTGGCCGATATTCTCACACACACACACACACACACACACACACACACACACACACTCTCTCTCTCTCTGTCTGTCTCTCTGTCTCTCTCGGTGTAAGAGGCTGGGGGCAGATTTTCCAAGACTTGCAACGTTACAATGTAATTTCTTGCGGGGTAACAACCGCTTGCGCCAAGATTTTAATCAGCGAGTAAAACGTAAATTGAGATTCCCCGGTGGCTGATTGTTTCTAAAAGCTCGTTATTTTCCCGGACTCGTGCCTTATGCTTTATAGCCTCGCGACGTAGACGTTCGGCCATACTTATTTGCCATATCTCTCTGGCTTTTTTTTCTTCTTTTTCTTATTTTTTAACTACTTAGTTATGGATGAGGAATAATAGCTCATTGAAATATTATGCTGTGGAATATGGTATCAAAGAATTTTATTTTACGTGACGATGCAGTTTTATCCGCGTTCATGCTTCGTTATTAAGTTGCACGTTATCAAGAATTTAATATAAAAAGCATAGAGGGAATTTTCCCATAAAACTTTGCCGTGGAATCTACGATTGACGTAACGCGCTGACATTCTTTTTATTTATTATCCATAATGAAGTGAAGTTCAACTCGATACACAGTGCGGCTTAAATGTTAATGCATTGCCTGCGTGGAATATGTAAGGACAAAAGCCTATATAAAGAGTCGTATCTTAAGTTGCATAATTTTTATACATACTTATGAATGATATTCGAAAGGATTCTGCTTTATCAAATCTAATGGCGTGGTCGTTGCTTGATGCATTAATGGAACAAATCGTGATTTCGTCAACGCTTTTATCCTAAACTTTTTCTCATTTTTTTTTTTTTTTTTTTTTTTTTTTCAATGCAGCAAAACCATGAGGTCATTTATCTCCCTCCTAAGAGAAGAATTAACTAAGTGCTCTTATCCAATAAGTATATAAAATATTTGCAGAATAATCAAGTAACGCATTCCAATTCACGTAAAGTATATAAATTCACTTAAGTATTCTAAAAATAAGCCTTCCTTCGCTATAAATAAACTAATGCTCTCGCCCAAGTCGCGATAAACTTAATCATTGCTCCCAAACAAATGCAGCGGGTCTGAAAAAAAAAAACAAAAATAAATAAATAAATAAAACGGCTTTAACCAATTAAAGCAGCAAAAAATGTTGTCACTTTCATGCACCACGGCTGCAATTAATTAATGTGGATTTCATAAAGGAAAGTGTCCCCTGATCTGGATGGCGCGCTTCAAAATTGTGTTTGGCATACGACCCGGAAACATTCCGAATAGTCAGCCATTCGTCACTCCCAATTGAGAAAGATTACAGGAAGGAAAAACCTCCCCGTACGCGGTCAATGATTTTTCAAGCACGGGCTCCTTAAAATAACTGCGTATTATGAAAATACGTGAGGGCCCTACGAGCGCTATTGATGCCGGAAATACTTTGAAAACGGGCGAGGCGCGATCTTATCAAGAGGAGCAACGTGTATGCGTACGTCGTTCGCCGGCGATTAATGCACGAGCATAGTGCTGTATAATTATGGGATACTGATTCATTTTGCCTTTCCCCATTCTTTTCTTCTCTGTATCCTTCCGGCCTGCGAGCGGCATAACTTTTTCCATTCCCATTCATTCGTTGTCGCCTTGCAATTTTATATATTCTTTTTTCTACTTCTTCTTCTTTATTTAACTTTAATGGCGACGTAAGCGCGTTACTCTGTGCATACACTATCGATCATGAATTAATGTATATTTAAAATAATCGTTAATTACGATCGTGTCATTGTTAAGATGTTTTAGATGATTTTAGATTTTAGCCAATCAGTTACGAGTTTTCAATGGCATTGACGCCCTTACGATTAACTACCTAAGAATATTTGCTTATTATTCGCATATTTATAGCTTACTAGTTTACAATATTCATTACAATGTTTCAATAAAATTTATTATAAGCTCCGTTATTAAATTAATAATCATAATGAATATATATATATATATATAATAAGAAGAAAGATAATGCAAAATATTCTGTGGATGAAATATTTCACATAATTTTGAGAAAATCAATTACTCGTTGTAGGCTGAAAATTTCTATTATAAATATTAAAAAGTAAATATTTTTGTACATTGTTTTACTTATTTAATGTTTAAAATAATTCCCATATATAAGCATAAAACAATGTTTGTCCTACAAAATCAAGACTCCAATTGTTTGGCAAACCGATAATTTTTAACCAACTACAGAGGATTAGATTATGAAAATGAAATTTCTATCAATTTATTCAATTTAAGATTTAGAAAAATTCTTTTACTTAAACTGCTTTTACCATTGTAATTCATATATTATAATTTTCAATCTATTAGTATTGACAATTGTAACTATGTCTTTTGCGATTAGTTTTGCTTTTCACGCTCTACACACGTACAATTTGTTTAACTCAAATTTTCCATAAATCTCCCCATTGACAATGATAATAAAATTACTAACCAACCCGACAATCGATACTCCTCGTAAATATTATATTCGCCTATAAAACTGAAAGTAACAACGAATTTTGCTACTTGTGTATCGCAGGAGTGTAAATTAGCAATCGTGTTTACATGATGTTTACACGTCAAAACAGTATCGTTCTTACACAGCATCATAGCATTGAAGTTATCCATTATTTAAGACTAAAATTTTTACTGATAGTGGCATGTATGATGATGACGTGCATTTGCTTGCGCAGTCTATTTAGTAATCGAGTT